AAAGGAAGATTTTTTCATTGTTCCTTTCAACCACCGATTTTGTTAATTTTATTTTTCATGACCAATAACAACTAAACTTCCGAAGAGAGAAGCATAGTAGGAGAGCTTCAGTTTAATGCTTGGCAGGACTGTTCTGCATCTCAACAATTTTTAAACCTACAAGAAGAAGTTTTAACTTGAGACAAGGACACCAAAAGTCAGAAAAAAACTCCATCTTTGGTCACATCCTTAGAGTGCAGATTAGTGAAAATATTAAAAGTCTATAGCAAGGAAGTATGATGCCATTTATAGCTCGTATTGAGTCGATGTGATGCGGACAAGTATTCTTTTGCTGCATTTTGTAAATTCTGTGTAACATTCGCCCGGAAGTACATATCGACGGAAAATAAAGCTAAGCTATAAAACGACAGGCCAGCGTCTAAACAGAGGTCTACATGCTTTTCACCGTCTCTACCTAAGCCAGTCTTTTAGGTGGTCTTTCCAACATCGGGTCGACAAAAACTTTACTGCTTTCGGCTTCGGTCAAAACACTCAATTTAACTTAGTTATATGTAAGAATAGTGAGCTGATGGCTGGGTCTCAGTATCCCCAGACCACGAGGTCACTCCTAAAAACAGGGCTACTACTATTTGTTATATTACTATTGTTTTTGTTCAGTGGATAAAAATCATCATCTCCATCGAAGATGGATCAACCCTTTCCCTCAAATCCAGCTTCTCATTATCAGAAAATGAATCTGGATGTTAATAAAACTCAATTCAGGACATAACCAGGAAGCTAAAAGTTAGTTTTTATCAGTTCGAGTCCAAGTCTTTAGAACCCTCCAGATTCCTGAATTCGGGGAAAAAACACTCTTATTTCTTCTCCTGAAGGCTGTATTCACGGTTCCACCACCCTTCACCGTTGGCGTGAATAGCTTTGTTACGATTGTAGCGACACAATCGTTACAACTCGGAGCGGTCTCTGTTAATTCTCTGTTGTGATTTTCTATTTCTCATTGTTATCTCTATCGCAACTATTGTTGTTGTGTTTTTCCCTCTGATTTTTCTTCAGAATGGCCGTTTCTGCATTTATCAGAAATGTGACGTCATCATTCGAAATTTTGAAAATTTTAAATACCAGAATTTTCTGACCTTCACAGTTTGTCCAATCGTTCAGATAACGTCGCTAATCTGCTAAAACTGCCAATTCTCCAGGTCAGCGGCTAACCATCCGAAATCGCATTTTTGTCCATTCTGGTCGAATGTCACACTGTTCAGTGACGTTGTGCTATTCTGATGAATTACTGGAAATTCAATGAGGACTTTGACAGGGCTTTCGGGAAATATGTGACATTGTACCGAAATGAACCGAAAAGCAGTGCATCAGCAAACTTTTGTTGGGAATTGTTTGTTGAAAAAGTTGGCTGTTCCGAACGTTTGGTAGTGTTAATCGTTCAATTGAACATATTAGTATTTTTCAATTTTGGAGTGACGAAATAATTTTTTAAAATTCATTCAAAAAAAGACACGTCACAATTTTAAAAATTTGCAACTTCTGAAGAGCTGTGAAAAACAAATCGACGAGTTTCATGAGTTGGATTAAAAACAACGGATTTGCTAAAAAAAGAAAAAAGAAGACGTACAAGAAATAAAGCGAACGATCGAATTGCAGTTGAAATATTACAAAAAAAAAGAACATTACGAATTGTAACAATTGTGCAGCTACAATCACTACGGAGCAACTCCCGAGAATCAGGAGGGCTGTTGGGCAGACTTGCTACCCTTCCTGTTTGCCAAGAAGACAGCTATTCGACCGGAATCAAGAATCCTAGCGAGATCAACACAATCGAAAGAAAAACCACTGATAATGAAAAACCGATTTCTTCTAATGAAATAAACGCTTCAATCTGAAGCCGTCTGCACTACCCAGCAATACTATATAACAGTTTAACATCTAATCTAATATTATCGCTTGAAAAACAACTGAGTTGGGCAATGAAAACCTGCTGTGACAAGAAAATTTGACTTTTCATCCGATCGTAAGCTGGAATAGAAAAGGTAATGCCGGTTTCCTTGTCTCTCGATTGGAAAATAATCTGTCATCTATAGAAAATCAAACATAAACTACTATTGGCATACACAAAAATCAAGTACGAGAACAGCAAAACTGATAAGAACAAAAGAACTATACAAACTATATTTTCAAGCAAGATTCCGCAGTTCATTATATTGAAAAAAAAGTTTTCAGAAAACCAGTTCTAACTTGGAACCAATTCAAAATGCAAGCTCAATCATAGCAGCAGTTTAACTTACGAGGCTATGAAATGTTATTTTAAAAAATATTTTCTATCTTTCTTTATTGAAGATCCTATGGCAACCTATGAAAAAACAACATGGGAACAATTTAAAGATTGCGTTAAAATTGTTAATTCAAACAAACGTTTTCGCACAATTTTGTACATCTTCAGCTTTTAAAAATTCTAAACTATCTGTAAGATTTAAATGATCGAACAATTTAAATTTTAAATCAAACAATTAATTGTTTTGATCAAACAATTAAACAATTCAAACAAAATGATCAAACAATCTATTATATATTTAAATGCGGGTTTCACTATCTCGCCATGTTTAGGCTTTTTCAACGTATTATTTTTGCATGTTTAAGCTATAGCGTACATTGCAATGGTTAGGATTTTTTTTTTCGATTTTCCAATTTGATTTTAGTGTTTATTTTACCGAGTGTAAATTAGGCAGCCCAATATCGAATCGGGGGTTGCGAATTTGGCCTCCAATTTTGAATGCCCGAATCATTTTAGCTAACGAGATAAGACGATTTTTGAGATTTTTTCAAAAATTTTCAGAAATTTCAAATAACAAAATAATTTTTAAATTTTGAAGTTCCCAACCCTGTAGTTGGGTGCGGTCAGAGTACTCTAAGGAGTTACTAATCTTGCCACCAAATATGACCGTTCAAATCCTCGTAGTTTTCGAGATATAACGTTTTTTGTGATTTTTTCAACAATTTTCAGAAAACTGAAATTATGATTATTTTTTAAAAATCTGAAATTCCCAACCGTGTAGTTGGGTACTGTCAGAGTACTATCAAGGATCGCGAATCTTGCCTCCAAATATGACTGCTGAAATCCTTGTAGTTTTCGAGATATGATGTTTTTTGTGATTTTTTCAAAAATGTTCAGAAAATTTTAATTAATTATTTCTCAAAATTTGAAACTCTGAACCTTGTAATTGGGTGCTGGCGCAGTACTCTAAGGAGTTAAAAATCTTGCCTCCAAATACGACTGTTCAAATCATTGTACTTTTCGAGATACGACGTTTTTTGTGATTTTCCAAAAATTTTCAGAAAACTTAAATTATTATAATTCTTAAAAAATCTGAAATTCCCAAACCTGTAGCTAGGTCCTGTCAAAGTACTCTCAAGGATTGCGAATCTTGCCTCCAAATATGACAGCTCAAATCTTTGTACTCGAGATATGACGTTTTTTGTGATTTTTTTCAAAAATTTTCAGAAAACTTAAATTATTATTTTTCTGTAAAAATCTGAAATTCCCAACCCTGTCGTTGGGTACTGTCAGAGTAGTATCAAGGATCGCGAGTCTTGCCTCCAAATATGACCGTTGAAATCCTTGTTGTTTTCGAGATATGATGTTTTTTGTGAGTTTTTCAAAAATTTTCAGAAAAATTTACTTAATTATTTCTCAAAATTTGAAACTCTGAACTTTGTAGTAAGGTGCTGACGCAGTACTCTAAGCAGTTAAAAATCTTGCCTCCAAATATGACTGTTCAAATCAATCATTGTAGTTTTCGAGATATGACGTTTTTTGGGATTTTCCAAAAATTTTCAGAAAACTTAAATTATTATAATTCTTAAAAAATCTGAAATTCCCAAACCTGTAGCTAGGCCTGTCAGAGTACTCTCAAGGATTGCGAATCTTGCCTCCAAATATGACTGCTCAAATCTTTGTACTCGAGATATGACGTTTTTTGTGTTTTTTTTTCAAAAATATTCGGAAACCTTTATTATTTTTTTTCTGTAAAAATCTGAAATTCCCAAACCTGTAGCTAGGTCCTGTCAGAGTACTCTCAAGGATTGCGAATCTTGCCTCCAAATATGACTGCTCAAGTCTTTGTAGTTTTCGAGATGTGACGTTTTTTGTGATTTTTACAAAACTTTCCACATGCGACTGCTAAACGCGACTGCTCAAATGCTTTTAGTTTCCGAGATGTGACGTTTTTGATTTTTTCAAAATTTCTCAAAGAACTTATCTACAAAGAAATTCAAAAAATTTGAAACTACTAACTTGATGAAGATACAACTTTATTGTCAGCGTACACCCAGGCGTCTCAAATCTTGCCTCTTAATATGAATGCTCAAATCCTTTTAGTTTCTGAGATAAGACGTTTTTTTCAATTTTTTTTTCGGGAAACTTAGGTTTAAAAAAATTCACAAAATTTTAGATTCCTAACCTTATAGTAGGGTGCTCTCAGTGGTTGCAAATTTCTCCAGAGGCCCATTAAGTTTTCGAGATGACATTTTTTTTAAAATGGTAATTGAAGAAAAATTAAAAGTTCGAAATTACCAACCTATATGCGGTTTTTCATGAGTTGTCGAAAATTTTCGAAGCACCGAAAGTGCGTTAAACGCTAGTTTAAATTTATTTGATGTTAAAATTATAACCCTCATTTTATTATATTGTAATTAAATGTAAACCAAGAAAATATGCGTGACTTTTACTTGCTTAATAATATTAATTATCATTTTGCAATTAAAGTGTTCATTTTTAATAATCAAAAAGGGTAGATATTAAGCGGCAAGTTTCTAGATGCTAAAAATTTTGACCGAATATTTTCAAATTGTTCACTGATGCATTCATTTAGCGTTTGTATGGCCCTATGCAACCTGTGCACGGAACGTCGTATGGCCGAGGAGCCCTTTTGAATTGACCTTTCCCTAGGGGAACTCGTGTTATTGAATGAGATTTTTTTCTGCTCTTTTAGAGAAATGTCTAACATTGAGCTATCACAAGGCTCAGCTGACGAAAGACAATGCAAACAACTAGCGTTTCACGTGGACTCAGAAATTGTCGACTTGGATATAATCGCGCCTACTTTTGCTTCATTGACCTTTGAAAATGACAGCAGTTATACAGTTCTTGAAAATCAGTTCGCCCAAGCAGATGGTGTTTTGCATAATCCTTTGTCGGCATCTGTTAGCTGTACGCGAGAGGAAATTTGCGACGTCATCGAAGAAGTAATATGCTCTTCGGATGACGTTCAACTGTTTCCGCACCACTTCTCTGAATCTGTAAGTTAAGCGCTCATTTCTTTCTGGTTTGTCACATGTAACCGCATAGTTTTTTTCCGAACCTCTCTCTGATAAAAAATTGAAGCTGCATTGTTATAATACAAAAATTGAATTGTTTTGAATCTATACGGGGTCGATTTGGGACACAATATGGTACTATTATAATAGACTGGTCCGTAGAAAAGGCTACTATGATAGACAGGTCGCAATTAGGCAATTAGACTAACTTTGTATGTATTAGAAGTAGTAGTAGTAATAAAATACTTCATTCCATATGCGTGGAGTCACATTAAATGAAAATACTACTTGACAAATGAAACAAAAAGAAAAAAGACTTATGAGCGACAAAATTTACAGTGACACTTTATATAGAAGCAACAAGAGTGACAGATGTTGAAATGAGTGGTGAGATGTATTAACTTGAAATCAAAATGATGTATTATTTATGCTTTACAAAAACGAGTTAAAAAATTTATGATATGGTTTTTCATTATTATAATGTGTATATGAAGCAATTTCCTCGTTTCAAATTACTTAATGATTTCGGAATCATCAATTGGGTAAATTATTAATACTCAAAGCTTAAATTTTTTAATCTTTCCACCTTCGCATGGTAACGGGAGAGTTTTCACGAATGATTTGCTACAGAAACAAACTTTTTTTGAAAAGATACTGGGACCTGCTCCTGAATTGTCACCTTCCTATTTATTTACAATTTTTGAGATCTAGATATGTTTTCGATTAGGGAACTGAATATTTTTAGGGACCAGTTGTACCCATATGGCATATGTCAGTTTTTTATTTTCTTGCGCCTATTGACTCTTTTTCAACTTTCTGTTGGCTATGTTTTTCAGAAGGCGGTGTGTGAGATTTGTGGTAAAACATTAGATTCCATTCCGCCGGAAAATTCCTCGACTGGTCAGCATAAGCCAGCAGGTGTGATCTGCGAACCGTGTGCCAAAGATGCGTTTGGATCATCCATTTACTCATCTGATTACAATACGAACAGTGAAAAATGGGAGCTAAGTCAAGAAGAAGAGCACAGATGTGATATCTGTGGCGAGGTCTTTCTTAATCAACAGTCTCTGGGAAATCATAAAGTTAGTCTTTAATAAACTTACCCTCGTAAAAGTTACCTACGATGAATGGAAAGTTAAAAACTCATAGCAATGTACGATAAGCAGGTTCAGAAGGACTATGAAGGGGTACATTTGAATTATAGTTTAACAAATGTACCAGATTATTTAAATGCTTTTGTTTTGGTTGTAAGAGAAGCTGAATGGTATTTGTGCAAGCCTGCTAGAATTTTTATTCTCAGTGAAAAGAACAAGTGTAATTTTTTAATTAAAATTGTGATATTCTTACTAAACTGATTTTATTATTGGTAATTTATGGCATGCTCACAAAGAAAAAAGTTTAATTAATCCAACTAGTAATTTATTAACCGTAAAAAAACGGAGCGAAGACATTTATTTAAGTCGTGTTGATGTTTTCGTTTTTTTTTTCAGGAAAAGTCCTAAAAGTTGTTCATATTCAAATAAGTTTTCGTGTTTTGACTTTAATCAAATTCATGTGTAGGCAAATGAAGCTCTTCGATTACGGAAAAGAAAACGGCACATAGAAACGTGAATGCCTTTCAATTTTGAAAGTAAATTGTAATTTGAAGATTTCTCAACGGAATACATAATGAACCAATAATCTCAATTTTTTTTTAAAACAAAAAGTCTTTGTCATAAGCTTGAAAAATTAAAGAGCTTATTTTGGTATACTTTCTTGGAAATTTGAAAGCTGAAAATGTTCAAAAAATAGTCGTTTTCGGCTTTCTTGGGTTCATTGACTTTTCTCCAACTGTCTGCTGGCTATATTTTAGAGTTCTCAGCGGTCTGAAAAAAATATCTTTCGAACCAGTTTGTCTAATCGGGTTAGTTTCATCTAAAAAAGTATCAATCTTAAAAGGTTTTTGAAGTTCAAAGAACTTTAAGCTGATATAATTTTTCGTTGAAACTGTATTTGAAACTCTGAACCTTGTAGTTGGGTGCTGACGCAGTACTCTAAGGAGTTAAAAATCGTGCCTCCAAATATGACTGTTCAAATCAGTGTTCTTTTCGAGATACGACGTTTTTTTTGATTTTCCAAAAATTTTCAGAAAACTTAAATTATTATAATTCTTAAAAAATCTGAAATTCCCAAACCTGTAGCTAGGTCCTGTCAGAGTACTCTCAAGGATTACGAATCTTGCTTCCAAATATGACAGCTCAAATCTTTGTACTCGAGATATGACGTTTTTTGTGTTTTTTTTCAAAAATTTTCAGAAAACTTAAATTATTATTTTTCTGTAAAAATCTGAAATTCCCAAACCTGTAGCTAGGTCCTGTCAGAGTACTCTCAAGGATTGCGAATCTTGCCTCCAAATATGACTGCTCAAGTCTTTGTAGTTTTCGAGATGTGACGTTTTTTGTGATTTTTACAAAACTTTCCACATGCGACTGCTAAACGCGACTGCTCAAATGCTTTTAGTTTCCGAGATGTGACGTTTTTGATTTTTTCAAAATTTCTCAAAGAACTTATCTACAAAGAAATTCAAAAAATTTGAAACTACTAACTTGATGAAGATACAACTTTATTGTCAGCGTACACCCAGGCGTCTCAAATCTTGCCTCTTAATATGAATGCTCAAATCCTTTTAGTTTCTGAGATAAGACGTTTTTTTCAATTTTTTTTTCGGGAAACTTAGGTTTAAAAAAATTCACAAAATTTTAGATTCCTAACCTTATAGTAGGGTGCTCTCAGTGGTTGCAAATTTCTCCAGAGGCCCATTAAGTTTTCGAGATGACATTTTTTTAAAAATGGTAATTGAAGAAAAATTAAAAGTTCGAAATTACCAACCTATATGCGGTTTTTCATGAGTTGTCGAAAATTTTCGAAGCACCGAAAGTGCGTTAAACGCTAGTTTAAATTTATTTGATGTTAAAATTATAACCCTCATTTTATTATATTGTAATTAAATGTAAACCAAGAAAATATGCGTGACTTTTACTTGCTTAATAATATTAATTATCATTTTGCAATTAAAGTGTTCATTTTTAATAATCAAAAAGGGTAGATATTAAGCGGCAAGTTTCTAGATGCTAAAAATTTTGACCGAATATTTTCAAATTGTTCACTGATGCATTCATTTAGCGTTTGTATGGCCCTATGCAACCTGTGCACGGAACGTCGTATGGCCGAGGAGCCCTTTTGAATTGACCTTTCCCTAGGGGAACTCGTGTTATTGAATGAGATTTTTTTCTGCTCTTTTAGAGAAATGTCTAACATTGAGCTATCACAAGGCTCAGCTGACGAAAGACAATGCAAACAACTAGCGTTTCACGTGGACTCAGAAATTGTCGACTTGGATATAATCGCGCCTACTTTTGCTTCATTGACCTTTGAAAATGACAGCAGTTATACAGTTCTTGAAAATCAGTTCGCCCAAGCAGATGGTGTTTTGCATAATCCTTTGTCGGCATCTGTTAGCTGTACGCGAGAGGAAATTTGCGACGTCATCGAAGAAGTAATATGCTCTTCGGATGACGTTCAACTGTTTCCGCACCACTTCTCTGAATCTGTAAGTTAAGCGCTCATTTCTTTCTGGTTTGTCACATGTAACCGCATAGTTTTTTTCCGAACCTCTCTCTGATAAAAAATTGAAGCTGCATTGTTATAATACAAAAATTGAATTGTTTTGAATCTATACGGGGTCGATTTGGGACACAATATGGTACTATTATAATAGACTGGTCCGTAGAAAAGGCTACTATGATAGACAGGTCGCAATTAGGCAATTAGACTAACTTTGTATGTATTAGAAGTAGTAGTAGTAATAAAATACTTCATTCCATATGCGTGGAGTCACATTAAATGAAAATACTACTTGACAAATGAAACAAAAAGAAAAAAGACTTATGAGCGACAAAATTTACAGTGACACTTTATATAGAAGCAACAAGAGTGAGAGATGTTGAAATGAGTGGTGAGATGTATTAACTTGAAATCAAAATGATGTATTATTTATGCTTTACAAAAACGAGTTAAAAAATTTATGATATGGTTTTTCATTATTATAATGTGTATATGAAGCAATTTCCTCGTTTCAAATTACTTAATGATTTCGGAATCATCAATTGGGTAAATTATTAATACTCAAAGCTTAAATTTTTTAATCTTTCCACCTTCGCATGGTAACGGGAGAGTTTTCACGAATGATTTGCTACAGAAACAAACTTTTTTTGAAAAGATACTGGGACCTGCTCCTGAATTGTCACCTTCCTATTTATTTACAATTTTTGAGATCTAGATATGTTTTCGATTAGGGAACTGAATATTTTTAGGGACCAGTTGTACCCATATGGCATATGTCAGTTTTTTATTTTCTTGCGCCTATTGACTCTTTTTCAACTTTCTGTTGGCTATGTTTTTCAGAAGGCGGTGTGTGAGATTTGTGGTAAAACATTAGATTCCATTCCGCCGGAAAATTCCTCGACTGGTCAGCATAAGCCAGCAGGTGTGATCTGCGAACCGTGTGCCAAAGATGCGTTTGGATCATCCATTTACTCATCTGATTACAATACGAACAGTGAAAAATGGGAGCTAAGTCAAGAAGAAGAGCACAGATGTGATATCTGTGGCGAGGTCTTTCTTAATCAACAGTCTCTGGGAAATCATAAAGTTAGTCTTTAATAAACTTACCCTCGTAAAAGTTACCTACGATGAATGGAAAGTTAAAAACTCATAGCAATGTACGATAAGCAGGTTCAGAAGGACTATGAAGGGGTACATTTGAATTATAGTTTAACAAATGTACCAGATTATTTAAATGCTTTTGTTTTGGTTGTAAGAGAAGCTGAATGGTATTTGTGCAAGCCTGCTAGAATTTTTATTTTCAGTGAAAAGAACAAGGGTATTTTGTAATTAAAATTGTGATATTCTTACTAAACTGATTTTATTATTGGTAATTTATGGCATGCTCACAAAGAAAAAAGTTTAATTAATCCAACTAGTAATTTATTAACCGTAAAAAAACGGAGCGAAGACATTTATTTAAGTCGTGTTGATGTTTTTCGTTTTTTTTTTCAGGAAAAGTCCTAAAAGTTGTTCATATTCAAATAAGTTTTCGTGTTTTGACTTTAATCAAATTCATGTGCTCAAAGGTAGGCAAATGAAGCTCTTCGATTACGGAAAAGAAAACGGCACATAGAAACGTGAATGCCTTTCAATTTTGAAAGTAAATTGTAATTTGAAGATTTCTCAACGGAATACATAATGAACCAATAATCTCAATTTTTTTTAAAACAAAAAGTCTTTGTCATAAGCTTGAAAAATTAAAGAGCTTATTTTGGTATACCTTCTTGGAAATTTGAAAGCTAAAAATGTTCAAAAAATAGTCGTTTTCGGCTTTCTTGGGTTCATTGACTTTTCTCCAACTGTCTGCTGGCTATATTTTAGAGTTCTCAGCGGTCTGAAAAAAATATCTTTCGAACCAGTTTGTCTAATCGGGTTAGTTTCATCTAAAAAAGTATCAATCTTAAAAGGTTTTTGAAGTTCAAAGAACTTTAAGCTGATATAATTTTTCTTTGAAACTAAATTGAAATTAAAAAGGAAGAAGGCTGTTTAAAGCAATTTCCCAATTAAACTAAAATATGGCAGATATCATGAAGCTTGCCGAGTAGATTAGATCTGACTTTAGACTTTGGTTTCTTCTCCTTTAGCTTGTAATACGGGCAATCGGCTGTTTTGGCTTTATTAACATTCGGTGGTTTTGTTTTGCTGTCGTGCAATTTATCTTGGTTTCTGAGTGTGCGCCCTCCGTAGGGGAAGGTTTTCAATGATTTAACGTGTTTTCGTTTTGTATGGATTTTCAGTCATTTCATGGACTTGCACTCCTTACCACAGACAGAGCATTGTCATTTTTATTTCCGGCTTGGTTTGTATCGTTACATGATATCTTAGTTTTCGTCGTTACAGTTAAAGTTCGTCCTTTTTGATCCTCATACTGTGTTACGCTTGGGATTTGCAAGCGTTATTAAATGCTCTGTCCGTTCCTTCATTATCCTTTTCGATTCTTATCTGTTCACCGCTTCTTCTCTGCACATGTCTCCAATCCAATC